GCCCAGCTGATTTTTGCATTTTTAGTAGAGATGAGGTTTCACCATGTTGGCCAGGCTGGTCTCGAACTCCTGACCTCAAGTGATCCACCCGCCTCAGCCTCCCAAAGTGCTGGGATTACAGGCGTGAGCCACCGCGCCCGGCCCTATTAATTTTTTAAGTGCACAGTAGAGCATTAACTACAGGCACTGCGTTGTACAGCAGACCTCTAGAACTTATTTATCTAGTATAACTGAAACTATATTAATTGAATAACAATTTCCTATTTCCCCTCCCTCCCTCCAGACCCCAGCAACCACCGTTCTGCTTTTTGTTTCTATGAATTTGACTATTTTAGATACCTCCTTTAAGTAGAATCATGCAGCATTTGTCTTTCTATGTCTGGCTTATTTCACTTGGCATCATGTTTCCAAGGCTCATCCATGTTGTCTCACATTGCAGGATTTCCTTCTTTTCTAAGGCAGAATAGTATTCCACTTATGTACACACCACATTTTCTTTAGTCATTCATTTGTTGTACATTTAGGTTGTTTCCACATCTTGGCTATTGGGAATGGTGCTGCAGTGAACATGGGAATGCCAATATTTGAGATTCGGATTTTAATTTTTTTGGATAAAGACCAAATTGCTAGATTATATAGTAGTTCTAGTTTTAATTTTTTGCAAACCTCCTGATATGGTTTGGCTCTGTGTCCCCACCCAAGTCTCATCTTGAATTGTACTCCCATCATTCCCACGTGTTGTGGGAGGGACCCAGTGGGAGATAATTTGAATAATGGGGGTGGCTTTCCCCATACTGTTCTCATGGTAATGAATACGTCTCGTAAGATCTGATGGGTTTATGAGGCGTTTCTACTTTAGCATCTTCCTCATTTTCCCTTGCCACCGCCATGTAAGAAGTGCCTTTCATCTCCCACCGTGATTCTGAGCCTCCCCCCAGCCATGTGGAACTGTAAGTCCAATGAAACCTCTTTTTCTTCCCAGCCTCGGGTATGTCTTTATCAGAAGTGTGAAAATGGACTAATACACCTCCATACTGTGTTCCATAGTGGCTGCACCATTTTGTATTCCTGCCAACAGCACACAAAACTTCCAATTTCTTCACATCCTCTCCAACACTTACTATCTTTTTTTAAAAAAATAGTCATTCTAACAGGTGTGAAGTGCTATCTCATTGTGGTTTTGATTTGCATTTCCCTGATGATTAGTGGCATTGAACATCTTTCCATATGCCTGTTAGCCATTTGCTTGTCTTCCTTGGAGAAATGTCTATTCAAGTCCTTTGCCTATTTTTAAATTGCGTTATTAGGGTTTTCTTTTTTCTGTTGAGTTGTAGAAGTCTCTTATATGTTTTGGATATTAATCCTTTATCAGATATATGGTTTGCAAACATTTTCTCCCATTCAACAGGTTGTCTCTTCACTCTGTTGATTATTTTCTTTGCTGTGCAGAAGCTTTCTAGTTGGATGTTTTCTCACTTGTCTATGTTTGTGTTTGTTGCCATATCCATGAAATCATTGCTAAGACCATGTCATAAAACTTTTCCTCTCTCTTTCTTCTAGGAGTTTTACAGTTTTGGGTTTTACATTTAAGTTTTTAATCCATTTGAGTTGATTTTTGTGTATGGTGTAAGATAAGGATACAATTTGCATGTGGATATCCAGTTTTACAAAACACCATTTGTTATAGAGACTATTCTTTCTCCATTGTGGATTCTTGGCACCCTCATTGACTATCAGTTGACTGCATATGGATGGGTTTATTTCTGGTCTTTTGGTCAACATGTCTGTGTTTATGCCAATACCATACTGTTTTAATTATCAGAACTTTGTAATGCATTTTGCAATTAGGAAGTGCGACGTCTCCAGCTAACACAGCTGGAGTTCTTTTTCAAGATTGATTGGGGTATTCAGGGTCTTTTGTATTTCCACATGAATTTTACATTTTTTTTCTATTTTTGTAGAAAATGCATTGGAATTTTGATAGGGATTACATTAAATTTATAGATCATTGTGGGTAGTTATGGACATTTTGAAAATGGTAACTCTTTCAATCCATGGACATGGGTTGTCTTTCCATTTATTTGTGCCTACTATAATTTCTCTCATTAATGTTTTGTAGTTTTCAGTGTACAAGTCTTCCACCTTCTTAGTTAAGTTTATTCCCAAGTATTTTATTCTTTTTGATGTTATAGTAAGTGGAATTTTTTTCCCCTAGTTTCCTTTTTTGGCCATATCAGTTCTTCTACTCTTCATCTTAGTAGGAGTTAGTGCCTTGGTAGGGTGGCTCATGCCTGTAATCCCAGTACTTTGGGAAGCCGAGGCAGATGGATCACCTGAGGTTAGGAGTTTGAGACCAGCCTGGCCAACATGGTGAAACCCCGTCTTTACTAAAAATACAAAAATTAGCTAGGCCTGGTGGCTATAGTCCCAGCTACTCTGGAGGCGGAGGCAGGAGGTGGCAGAGGTTGCAGTAGCCAAGAGCACGCCACTGCACTTCAGCCTGGGTGACACAGCAAGACTCTGTTTCAAAAAAAAAAAAAAGCACAATTGCCACTACTGACTGTAATACAGTAATTACTCCCATTACTTCAGCATATACTCTATGTGAGGTCAGTGCCAAGCCCTTTACATGTAATATCTTACTTAATTATCAAAATGATTCCATGAGGTAGGTTTCCTCATCCCGTTTTATAGATGAGGAAACTGAGGCCCACAAAAGGTAAGTAATTTTCCCAAGGTCTCAGACTAGTAAGTTTCAAACCTAAGAGTCAAACCAGACCCTGACTGCACCCCATCACCCATCTCCCCGAACTCTCTCCCCATCTAACCATGGGAACAGCAGGTATGCATGGGATAGAGACCTCTTCATCTGACGGTTTCACGGAATCAATATACAAGTTCCCTCGGGGTTGTGAAATCTAATTTAGAATCCAAAGGTAATGGACTATATAAAATTCACTGCTTGACATGAATTCTCTTGTGAGTTTTATTTAACCTCTTTGTACTTTAGATTCTCTGTGAGGCTGTGACAGAGATTTTCCGCTACCTACTTCCTCAGGATGTAAGAAGATAATTGAGATAATGTCTCTGAAAGCATTTTTCAATATTGAGAGGAAAAATACTATGGAGAGCCATGCTATTGTTATGTGATTTTAGTAACTCTTTTCAACTCTTAGGATATTGATATGATAATGAAACATATTAATTTATTGAAAATATTCCACACAGCTCCTTAAACTCTCAGGAGAAAAGACTCTTTGAAAATGAAAATGAGAAATCAGATAAATTATCAGCTATAGATAAAATATTCTTTTTTTTTTTTTTTGATACAGAGTCTCGCTCTGTTGCCCAGGCTGGAGTGCAGTGGTGTGATCTCGGCTCACTGCAACCTCCACCTCCCAAGTTCAAGTGATTCTCTTGCCTCAATCCCTCGAGTAGCTGGGACTACAGGTGCACACCACCATGCCCTGCTAATTTTTTTTTTTTTTTTTTTTGAGACAGAGTCCCGCTCTGTCGCCCAGGCTGGAGTACAGTGGCACGATCTCCGCTCACTGCAAGCTCTGCCTCCC